CTAGGTTGGTTACTTTGGCCAGCCTAGCCTGGCTGAGGCACATGATGATGAGAATAGTGCCAAACAGCCTCACGAAAGACTCTGTGACTCTCTCTCTAGAGTCCAGACTTAATGCTGAAAATTCTTGAGCTTTTTGGAAGGAAGAAAACTCTCCTTCACAGCTTTTAGGTTTCTTTCTTGCTAAACCGTAAACATAATAGAAAGGGAATATGAGCCAAAGTCTTTGTATAATCTTTGAGAATAGCCATGACCTGCCACACCCATATCTTGTCTTGAATGGAGTCCAGCACACATGACGCTGCTCCTACAGGCTCTAAGGCAACTTTGTAAAACTTTTTAGCGCAGCCACAATATAGAAGTAGATTAGGAGATATTGCTGAATTTTCACACAATCATTCAGCCATATTTTTCCTCTCCTTAAGATTATTAATAGTTGGTGCAGGAGTAAAATTGTCTTTACCAACAGACCTAAAGTCTTAAAAACTCCTTATAGTAGTTTCTGACCTCTAAGATCTCTCTCTTGGATCCCTTTCATACATTTGTTATTATTTACAAGCTCAAGATAAAATCATGACTAATAACAGTTCTAGAAGCTTGACCTTCCTCTCTATGCTATCTCCCATTTTGTGCTGTGTCCAGTTAGGTTTTAGTATTTTTGTGTGCCACAAAATCCTTTTTGCAATACTGCATTTATAATTTACATGTCTTTCTGTTATGCTCTCATTATGAGGTTTCCCCACATGAAGAGCTGCAGTATCTTTTGCATTTGGAATGGCAACCTTCTTTATCTCCAAGCTTTTTTTTTAAATAAAAAAAGAATTTTATTGAAGAGAGAGAATGTGCAAAAGAGGAGAGAATAAGATATCCTTCATCCCAAAACTAAAAATAAAAGAAATTCAAAAATTAAAATAAAAGGCTTTAAGACAAAATAGATTATGAACCCTATGCCAAGTGGAAGAAAGCGTCCTTCAAAAAAATTGCGGGCTTTAGCCCAAAGAGAAGCAAAGAAAATTATCCTATTCCAAACCATGTTATGCATTTCAAAATGATGCTTGAAAATTCTAGCATTCTCTTCCAACTGGATGACCCCCACCAGTGAAAATAGCCTCTCTCTATTTAACACCTTATTGGTCCTCCGAAAACTTCATTAGGTGGAAGAGATCAAAGTCTCTAGAATACAAGGATAAATTCACTTGGATATAAAATAACTTACTTTCTACCCATTTATTATGATGGTTTCCATGGATTAGGTTGTACCTCTTTTTGCTCTCTCCTTGGATATTTACTATTACTAGTTGTTTGGACATATTTGAATTTAAGATTCTACACGGGATATGATTGTGGGAGGAGCACATAACTGAATTAAATTTGTTCTTCTTCGTAAATGAGTATATTTTACATAACTGAATTAACTTTGTTCTTCTTTGTAAATGAGTGTGTTTTACTTCATTCTCCATATGCATTCTTTTAATTGAATACTCTCGTTATAATTCCTGTTACAATTAATATATGTTTCTCAATAAAGGTTTTGGAGCTTTGGACCAAGAGAAATTTTAGGTGTGACTGTGGAAATTCAAAATTTGGGGTGTTCTCCTGCAAGCTCTTTCCAAGTAAAGATGCAGAAAATCCTGAGAACTCATATAACCATAACTTCAAAGGTTCATACTGCAGTTGCAATCGGCCCTATCCAGATCCAGATGCTGAAGAACAAGCAGAAATGATACAGTGCTGCATGTGTGAGGATTGGTTTCATGGGGAGCATATAGGTCTTAAATCCTCTGATAAGGTTTGGTAGCTTGGCCTGTTTCCTACAGATTTAAATGGTGCAACCTTTTAGTTCTTGCTGTTAAGGACTCAACAAGTCTTAGATGCTCCATTAGCTCTCATTGATGGTGCATAAGCTGTTTGGTTCTCTTTGACTTAGTTCCATCTTTTTGGAGCTCATTTTAACTGGAGCACTCTCTGGGAGTTAACTATCTTTCATTCTGAGAATGATGTTATCTGTGCTGCTTTAGCCTGATCTTTGTCTTGTAAGTTGGCTATTGGGGCTGGTTGTGCTGGAAAGGAAGATTGATAAGCTCAACTGAAATATATGTGCAGTTCTTTTATTTATCATAATTTATGGGATTTAAGTATTTAAATTTAATTGATTTAACATGGTTAATATCGATACAGCTGTTTCCTGCTCCCAGACTGTTAATGCCCTATAATTCTGGAGTAAAAAGGATTTTTAACGTTGTAGGGGGTGATGCAGGAGAGGAAGATCCTACTTTAGAAGTATTCTAATACAAAGAGTTTTGTTGAAATGGTGGTCTTTTATGTATTGTTAAAGATATTTAGTTTGTTTTGGAACTATTAAGCATAGGTTTATTGTTGTTGTTGTTGTTATAGGTTTATTACTTTTTTGTTTATTAGTGTTCTATTCAGTTATTTTTGTATTTAGCATCTAGACATAATTGGATATTTACAAACTTTATAAATGTTTGGATGCTACTCTATTGTTATTTAGACTACAACGATTGATAAATAAGATTATTGAGATTTGAGATCTCTACTTTTGGTCTCTTGTTTACTTCAGGTTTCATTCAATCTTTCTTTATCCTGCATCTGGAAACTATGTTTCCTCTTCATTTGAACTTTAATGTTTTGTCTTCAGTGCTTAGATATTTTCCATTTTACCATGCTTTTGAGCAACTGGTATCGATTATAATCCTTATATTTTTGTGCAGCAGATTCCAAGGGATGAGGAAGGAGAGCCCCTTTATGAGGATTTTATTTGCAATGTGTGTTCTCCTGTTTGCTCTTTTCTAATGTCATATCCTGAAACCATATGGGCTACAGGTGGACAGTGTGTTGCCTTGACTGATGCTGGTAAAGACAAAAATGTATTGGAAGACATCCCATCCTCATGTGGATCTGGAAAGCTTGAGGATGGTGTTTGCACACCGAGTTCTCCTGGAAAGGATAAGGGGATAACCAATGCTAATCCTGAATCCACATCTTGTGGGAGTAAATCTGTTATTGGAGAAAGTTCTGAGGAGAAAATTAGCTCCAATGACCATCCATATGTCTCCTGTGTTCTTGGAGTCAATAAGGTGCCTGCTTCCCCTGATTCGGAGAGTAAACCATTTTTTCTTTCAAAAAACTGGAGGGATGTTCTCTGCAGATGTGAGAAATGCTTAAACATGTATAACCAGAAGCATATAAGTTATTTACTGGATAAAGAAGATACCATTGCTGAGTATGAGAAAAGGGCAAAGCAGAAGAGGGTAGAAAAGTTGCAGCAACAGGAGGGTGATGCACTAAGTTTTTTTAATAATCTTGGTCATGTGACTAAAATGGAGATATTGAATGGCATTCAAGACTTTACTGAGGAGTTTCGTGGCTTCCTGGTATGTGCTTTGCATAGACCTTATTCATAACTTAATTTAGAGTTCTTTTGACTTTTGTCTTCCCATTTATATTTATACTGCACTCAGATGTAACTTTATTATTATTTGCAGGGATCTGTTGACCCATCAAAGACAGTCACAGCTGCTGATATTCACCAGCTCTTTGAGAATCTTAAAAACAAGCGTAGGCGCATGTAGAGTGAGTTCTGCCGGATCTATATGCACCTTTGTTGGACGGACCCTTCAGTAGTTGGTTTTTGAAACTGATCTTTGGTTGAAATCGGTAGAAGATATGGAAAGAGTTAGGTTCTTTGAAGTTTAAAAATTCTGATGAATGGAACATTTTGCTATCTAAATTATGTTTGAAGCTGATCTTAGGTTGAGAAACAGATGAGTAACTCTTTCGAGTTAGAAACAGCTGCTTGTATGAGCTGGGATGAACTATTCCTTACTGTAAATTATGTGTTCATTCCTAAGTTAACAGGCACTTTTCCTTATGTCATTAAATTATGTGTTCATTCCTAATTTAATTTTGGCTTTAGACATGAAATTATAAAATTAACTCAATATTTAAATTTATCTTCCTAAAAGAAGCAATTAAGATAAGCATATTACTTTTGTTTTAGATGGAATAGAACCACAGTGACCTTTTTATGAGAAAAACACATGACTTAAACAATTGTAGAGATATTTCTGCTTCATCATCATTTTCGTCTTCATCGGTATTTTTCATAGTTTCACTAAAATTAATCACCATTTTTTAAGCTGTATACTGTTAAAAACGGTTTGCGTTTATTCATGTTCATTAGTTTCTGATAACGCCATTAACAAGAATGTTGATGAGGGATTAAATAACACACTTCGTATAATAGACGAGAAATTTGAGAAACTTAGTATGTAACTCTATTAGCATATATTTTGAGTGCGAAGATCATCATACAAATATATGATTTAATTCATCTAAACTCTCTGTCTTTTGCTATTTTTACTTTTAATTTATCACATAACATAGAAAATAGAAGCAACTACTCACAAGCACTTGAAGATATTCACAAGCAATCAGGAAACAAAAAATACTTCCACGAACTTTCAAGTTATAAGTACTTGAAATGACTATTCCTAATCACTAGAACTATGTAGAATATACATTTCGATTCATATATATATACATATATATTTGTTTCTTCTCTTAAAAAACGACACATATTTACTTACAACTCAAACTCTACCCACTACTTTTTATATAATATAACTTATCATTCTCCGTCGTCTGCGGCAACCAGCACCGCGACATCCCAGTAGCTCTACTCCTTTTTAGAAATTGGAATTAGCACTGCAGTAGCTTCAAAATGCCCCATCTCCGGCAACTTTCAAGTTATAAGTACTTGAAATGACCTTCTAATTGCTAGAAATCTATGGAATATACGTATCCATCCACAAATATTTGTTTCTTCTCCTAAAAACACATGTATTTGCTCACAATCCAAACTCCATTGCCAGGAGTTCTAGCTCGAACAATGCATTCCTTCACCTTTCTTTGTCGGCCATCAAATATAAGTTATTGATGAAGAAAGGAGACACTTAATAGGAGGATGTGCTCTTAGTTCCAAAGCAAGAAAATAAATTTAACTGCAGTGTAATATAATGCAATGTAAGATATATATTTTTCGGTTTAGACATGTAGTTTTGAGTTTAATTTTTATATACTAAAAATTTACCTTCTTATCATGAGTTAAATGTTACGACGCTTTTCTTGCTTTGGCAGCTACTGGCCTGCCACAAAAAAGAAATAACACGTAAATGTTTGAAAATTTCTAAATTCTTATATACATAGATATATGTAGTCACCACTATTATATATAAAAGAAATTTACAAAAATATTAAAATTTTCTAATTTTTGTCAATTAAAAAAATGAGATATATAATGATCTTAGGTAGAACATATAATACTTTTAAGACATAATAAATATTATTCATGAAACAGATAAATTGTCCTGTGAATAATATATATATATATATGTTTAATGATTAAAAATATATGTTGTTATCATATCGATAATAACTTTATTAAAATAAAGTACTGTAGAAAAATAACTGAAATAATAAAATAGTATAAGCTGTAAAATACCAAATTGTGGAGAAATTTTTTGGTTAATTACTGATTCGACAGTATAAAAATTGTAGAGATATTTCTCCTCCGTCGTTCGTTTCGTCTTCACTGTCTTTTTCTGCTGTTTCGCTAACGCCGATCATGATTTTTTATTCAGAGACTACGATTTTGAGAAGATTGAAAAAAATTTAAGCGTATAATCCTATATATAGAGTTTGAAGGATGAAATCTCCATCTAACTAATTTTGTAATATAAAGAATATTAAGAAAGGAATATGAAACATTTAATATTAGCAGAGACTGTATTCCGTAAAATCTGGATAATTTATATTAGATGATAGATTACCTTTTAATTATAAATAATTATAACAGAAGATAACTTACTAAAAATATTTTAAATATTTTTTATGATTGTCAATGTAATTTATTGTAAAATATGATTAATTAAATTATTTAAAATTATTTTGAATTTATTACTAAATTTCCTTAGAAGAATGTGGCAATGTTTTTTTTTTTTTTGCAATTTTTTAAAAAATAATACTTATTTCCCAAGAAATAAAAGAAAATTAAACTCATGAATAGCATTTTTTATCATCATCAACAATGCAGTCAATCATCATCTTAAAATGAAAGTTTATTTAGTAAAATTTTTAAAAATTTGATTGAAAGAAATTAAACAAAAGTCATATATTAAGAAAGAAATATAAAAAATTTAGTATTAGCGGATATAATATCCCGTAAAATCCGGATAATTTATATTAAAAAATAGATTATTTTTTGATTTCATAATAAAAGATAATTTACTATAAATCTCATATATCTTTACAATCGTCAATATAATTTATTGTAAAGTACGATTAATTAAATTAGTTGAAATTATTTTCAATTATTATTAAATTTTCTAAAGAAAATCATAACTCGTCAAACCTATTCCGGTCCATTAAGTTTGTTGTAATTTTAGATCGAACTCAATCCAAACCAAGAACAAGATTGTATTTTTACAATTACGCATTAGATTCAAGTTTTATGAATCTATTCTCTTGATATTAATACTGAGATTCGTATTGATAATGAGATGCAGAGGTGAAAATAAAAAAGTAAAAAAGAAAATTCATTGTTCATAACAAAATCCATTATTAATTGTAGAAAAACTATCTTAGATATTACTTTTTTAATTAGTAGTTAAACTTATTGTAATTAAATAATTAGTAGATAGATCAAACCTTAATAATTTAATTTTGACTTTAAACATACAATAGTTTGATTTTAATTTTCGTTTACATATATATACAAATATATGCATTTGGTGTAATCGAATACATTACATGATTTTGGATAGTAAATCTTAACTTGTATTTTTATATATTAAAAATTACGAGTTTAAATATCATTTGAATAATGTATTATGTTTTTATTTGATTTATTTTTTATATAATTTTTTTTATTCTTTTACTTCGTATACTTTTAAAATTGTTCGTATTAGTTCATAACCGTTGGTTTCTATTAAATATATTTAGTCAATATATATTTCTAAAATATAAAATTTGAAAAGATGATAGAAACAGATTAGTTTGACTGACATTCGTTTTATTTCTTATAATATTTGAAAATTTTTAACAAGCTATCGAGAGACAAAAAGTACTTCTGCAAATATAAGTACTTGAAATGACCTTCTCTAATTGCTAGAAATCTATGAAATATATATATTGATTCATGTATATATTTATTTCTTCTCTTAAGAAATGCACTTATTTGCTTACAACTCAAACTCTACCGATTATCTTTGATGTAGTATAACTTATCATTCTCCTTCGTCTGCGAGAACAAGCGCCATGACATCTCAGTAGCTCTCCTCTTTTCTGGACATTGGAACTCAGCAGGAGATAAAAAGTACTTCCTGAAATTTTCAAGTACTTGAAGTG